TTCTGGGGTGGAGAGTTCTGCATCTCCACTGCAGCGGTGGTTACATAACCCTGCGTACATGTTAAACTGAATAGAGCTGTTATCCAAAAAAGGACTATTTTTTATGTTGATTTTTTAATTTAAAAAACGCTTTGTCCCCAAGATTTTGTCCTTGTCTTTAATCCATCTGTTGTTTATCAGCATGTACGGTATAAGGCAAGCATCTATTACATTTCCTTTCTTTTTATGGGGGCAACTAGTTGCTCCAGTCCCATTTATTGGAGAGTATATTCTTCCCCCACTGAATTTTTTAAAAAGTGAAATATATTTGACATATAGCAGTATGTAAGTTTAAGGTGTACAACATGTTGATTTGATACATTTATATATCATAATATGACTGCCACTGTAGCAATAATTTGCACCTCTATCACGTCACATAATTACCAGTTTTGTGTGTGTGTATGGGTAGAACACCCCTACTAAATATTAATGCCACACCTGTTATATTTTTTTTTTTTAAATAAATGGTATGGGTATGTTTCTGAGCTCTCTATTCTGTTCCTGGATCTATTTCTCTATCGAGTTCTGTATCAATACCATGCTGCCCCAACTATTACAGTTGTAAAATAAACTCATTATCTGATATGGCAAGCCATCTTTTTCTTCTTCAAAATTGTCTTACCAATTCTTAGCTTCTTTCCAATCTAATTCAATCCACATTGACCCCTAGAGCACTCCTGAATAAAATCAAACTGCTAGATCATTATTTTAATTAATTCAAACAGTTGGTAACTTTCCAAACCTGACTGAGAACTACTACCTAATAATGTCTTTTGGTCAACAGGACAAATGTTCCCATTTCATCTATGAGGATATAGACTCAGGGATTCCAAATATAAGATGAGAATGATAGCACAGGCAACAAGGAAGGAGCTAGGCTAGTACTGTAACAGGGTGCAGCCAAGAGGGGAGGCCCCAAACAGGGATTTGGAATGGGGTCCAGGAAATATTAGGATGTCCTAACCCCGCCCCCCCCACAGGTGTGGGTTGGGGGAAGTAACACCTGGAGCAGGGCCATCAGAGCTGTTTTGCATAGCAACAGCTTTGCAGCTAACCTCTGGTGTGGTCATTTAACATATCTATAACCTTTAACTGGTTACATAGATATGTTAAATAGCTGTGGCCATGCTCTGAGCCAGGGGAATGGAAGTAACTTCCCCACCAAGACATAACTGGGGGGGAGGTCCCCCGAGTTACAGCGCCTGTGTGGGAGTTTGGATAAGACTGGCTCCATGACATGGGGCCACACCTGCCTAGATTCACAATGGCAGCCCAGTAAAGCTGGAAGGATATGAGAGTCCTGGCAAGTGTAGCCAATTGTGGGAGGAGTCGGAAATGGAGCTACAGAGGAAGATTGGCGTGGGAATTTAAACCCAGACAAGGCAGCCCTGGGAGAGAGAACCACGCGGGTTTGCCAGAGTGGGGACTCCCGAAGCTTTAGAAGGGGGAACAACCACCCAACTTTAGCAGAGATCCTGGAGACACAGCTGATGGTGCCGGGAACTGAGGGAGGCCTACCAGCCGAGATGGATTACTGGGAAGAACTGGGGGCGTGCCTGAGCCACGGACTTCTATTTCTTTTCCTGAAATACGGTACCCCAGACTGGGCAAAGGGGAAGGAAGGACTGTGTGTGTTTGTGGTGTTTTAAGGGACTTTGGGATTTTGATGAAGACATTAGGGCACTACTTTAAGTCTGTACAGCATTAAATAAACATTTCCTTTCCTTTTAACAAATCTCTGGCATTGAGAGATGTCTTTCCTATAAGGCAGTGGACATAACGAACCTGGGGGGTTCCTTTCGGTAAGAGTACATTGCCCTTGGGCCCCCCCCCCCTTGGCCCCTGTTGTTCTGTAACAGTACTATACCAGAAGTAGAATTGCTGATCCCCAGTCTAGTGCTCTACTCAGAAGCCAAGGTGGATGCCCAGGACCCTGTTTGCTTTTACCTGTGTATTGTAAAAACCATCTCAGTCTCCTTGGCTGGAAAAATAAAGCAAATTCCCTGACCTTACTTCACCAAGTTGACTTCCAAAATATTTTAAAACATTTCAAGCCAGCAATAGAAAATAAATAGGAGTGTAAATGAAGAAAGGATGAAAAATAACAAAATTTCAAATATTTTTTCCTTATAACTAAGAAAAACCTAGCATCCATTTTAATTAGGCATTATAGTTAATTATAAGACCAACAACAAAAGTTTATGGATAGGTTTTTTGAAATTACAATGAACATTCCCATTAAACAACATTCCCTAGATTGCATAAAAAGACTACTATAAAAATAAACTATGTTTAAATTTTGTTTTGTAATTATAAAAACAATGCTATTCAGAGAAGTGAATTTTAAACATCAGGTAATTCAAAGCATAATTTTATCAGCATTTCAGAAAAACAGTGACACAGTTTCTAAGAATCTGTCTGTTCATTTCCTGTATGTGAAACCACAGAAAAGTTTAAAATATTTTATAATGTGCATTTACTTTGCCACCCTTCTTGAAAAACATTGTTTTTTCCCTCTTTTTTGGTTGGTAAGTGGGAGGAAGACTATTTCCAAATTCTCTAACAAGTTTTAAAAATAGACTCCAGTAAAAAAAAAAAGTATTCTCAATTTATCTGCCTATTTTTATACTGTTTATTGTAATTAACACTTACATTATCTTTAACAGGTAGGCCTAAATTACAGGTGAAATTTTTCTAGAGCAGGTTTCCACCTGCATTAGCCATTCTGCCACCCAAAAACATTCACAGTCAGGCTCTTGGCAGAGAGTTTAGAACATTCTGCTGCTAATAAAAGAGAAACCACCACCCACCCATGACAGCAACTGACAGCTGTTTAGTTTTAGATTTTGGTTAACAAAATTTTAAAGGAACTCAAGTCACTCTTCTTTCTTTTAATCCACAAACTGAGTATGCCATGTAGCTGGACCTACAGAAATATCGTGACTACTGATAGGACATTCACTGAAATGTCTTCAAATATCAACAATCTAGTTTAGCTAAAAACTTTTATTAGTTTGTTCAGGTAGGAACCTAGTGGCAGTTAAAAGATAATATTAACAGACACATACAGAAACAGGCATAGTATGGCTTTCTTTTAAATTTATAATTTAAAAAGATCAAGAAAGAATGCATGTAAGTTACTTGTAAAAATGATCACCTTATACAGACACATCAGTGTATTTGAAAGCACAGAAAATTTTCAGTCCTTGAAAATGATGCAATGAACATGTCCAAAGCTTTATGAAGCAGATGAATTTTTAAAATTGGAAGAAACAGAATTTTTTTCTGGGAGAATTTTTAAAAATCACGTATGTTACCTTAGAATTGTGGCTAAATATAAATTGCATTTATGTGCGTGTGTGTGTATGTGTGAGAATATATATATATATATTCATACAGATATGATAATTCAAAAAGGAAATAACCTAATCTAGATCAGTTATTTCTAACCAATGGGCCAAGGAGTCATTGAAGAGGTGCATGGATGTACATACACCAAGCATGGTATTTCTCTCACACATATAGCCCACTATTTTTCAAATACAGACACAGATTCATATAATAAAAAAACCCAAAATCAATTAAAAGCAGGGCAGTTTTTAGCCATTATACATAATGTCAATCAACAAATACTAAAAGTACAACCACTTCTGTGTTAGGGGTCCACAGTTCCTTATATTCAAAACAGGTCAGCGGCCATTTAGCTAATATTCAAGGTTCCTTCTGGCTCTAAAAATTCTGATTTTAAGGGCATTTAGGTCTCCTATGGTGAATCTTTACTATTACATTATAAATATTTACACATATATACACATATATATATTGCCCGTATGTGCCAAGCATTAGACTAGCACTTGCTACAAAGATGACTTAGACATGATTTCAGACACAAGCTCAAACTGGCACAAGAGACAGATATATGAGCAAATAATACAATCTTATAAATACTGTTAGTATTTAGAAACATGCAGAACTGCCTCAAGTGCTTTGGGAGCACAGCAGTATTATCAATGTCACCTAGGGGATCTGAGGGGACAATGATCTATGAATTGGGTTTTGATAGGTTGTAAAAACAAAAATAAAAAAAGCATTCTAGACAGATGGTGCAGCATGGAACAAAGGCACAGGGCTTTGAATGTGCATGGCATTTTGGGGGAAACAGCCAGTTGTCTGGTATGGCTGGATAGTAAGACAGTATTTGGAGAAGCAAGATGAGACTAAAAAGGTAAAATGGATTGGGAAAGACAGTAAAAGGTCCTAACGATACTGCTTACCCATTGGGCAACAATTCTGTCAGCAATATGGTTATTGGTAAAGTTTAAGGAGTGATATAAACAGATTTGAATTTCAGGTGATAACTCACTGGAAAGGGTGATGGTGGGGAGGCTGAGCTGAGGGAGGGACAGTGCAACAATTCTGGTGAGAGAAGAAATAATACAGTGCAGTGCGGGTGGAATTGCGGAATCAAGGACGAAAGTTTCTAGTTTGGACAGCAGGATGGATACTGGTACAATGATAAAAAAATGGGATGCAGAAAGGAGGAAGACAACCAGAAAAAAAAGTAGTATTCCTTGGGGGGCAGTTACAAGAAAAAGGGAATAGCTGCCCATGTCCTATGCTGCAAAGAGGTAACTGAAAACCGAAAGGGTCCGTTCTTCCTCCCCACAAGGGTGAGCTCCCAGGTGGGTTAGGCAGGAAGAAAACCGATCAGGAAGGTGTGTCCAGAGGGCCAGGGTCAAAGCTTTTCATTAAACTTGCCGCACTTCAGTCCCGGAAAGAGGAGCTCAGAGAGGATGCCGTGGAGGAAGTACCGCTCCCAGGAGGCGGTAACCGGCGGGTGGACAGGACTAGGGCCGGGCGGCCAGTAGTTCAAGAGGGGCAAAGCACCACAGCCGCCTAGGGAAAGGAAGCTTGCGGCTCCCTACGCCTGCTCCTGTCCCTGGATTTATTCCACTTACTCTGGTCTCAGTCCCTCGCAGCCGTCAGCTGTGGCGATAACGACTCAAAGCCTCTGCCAAAGGGGACCTATGCACCCGAGGTAAGCGAGTCCTCTTGTTTGTTCAGCTTTTTCAGCAAGCAGACGCAGAAGCCCGCACAGGTAGTCGAGGAGCAGCTGAAGGGTCAGCAGGGATCGGCCCCATCACTGGCTGGGGAGCCGCGTCCTACTAGAGCTCCCACAACGACTCAGCCTCGCGAGATTTTCTTCTTTGCGTCACCATGGGGGCAGAGCGAAGAGATTTATTTGCAACTTCTCACTGACATGCGCGAGAGATGGGGGCAGGTCCCTTATAAATCCCTCCCCATTCATCTACTCAGGTTTTTTGCTTGGTTTCTCACAAAGTCTCGCGAGTTTTGCCAGGGAAACCGGCCTAGGTGAAGAGACCAAGAAGGGGAGACCGGGTGGGAGGGCCTTGCGCTTAAGGGCCTGTGTCTGGTTTAACTGGTGCTGTGGCTGGTACTTCGCTGATGGGGAAGCTTTCAGGCCGCCCGGAACAAACCGCCCAATGGGTGATTGGGAAAATTAGTGGGTAGAAAGTCTTGAGGGTCGAAGGCATTTTTTTTTCTTTTGGCTCCGCCCTCTTCCTGTTCGGCGACCTGGGCGTCTGGCCCACCGAGGGGGAAGGGCAGGTTGGCGGGGGCCTTCGTAGAGTGCTTGGCGCACGCGCGAATCCCAGTGTGTGAGTGTTTGTGTTCACGCGCACGCGCGCGCGCGCTCCCGCACTTAGGAAGCTTGGGAAGAACCGGTGTGCTAAGAGATGAGCGGAGAAAGCATAGTCCCCTGTCTTTGGTACCAGACACTCCTGACTGTGCGCTGACCCTCCCCACCCAACCAGCAGCCTTTGCCAGAGAGGCTGTGGTCCGTAGCCTCTGTTCGTTTTCACTTCAGGACCAGGCACGAAAGTAAGCTAAACCTCAATCCTGAGGTCTTCCTTATCCGCTCACCTTGTACTTTCCACCCCGCACCCTACAGCAGAGTGTGTCTAAATTTCTCAAAGAAGAGTTTTGCATGAAGGGGAAATGCGTTTGAAAGCAGAAGAAAATAGCTGGATCGTTAAAAGTCAGTTCGTTTTGATGAACACTTTTGCTTCTGCTTACCATGTGCTTTTTGAATGTCGCTTGTCTCTATTCAGTATAAGATTTTATTAACGAAGCAAGGGAGTTTTTATAAAAAAAAAAGTTTCAAAAGTTTCTCCTCCCCACCAGTGTGATGGTAGCAACTAAGTTTGTCTGTTCTATGTGATTAATTACTCTGGAGTTTCAAAAGCTAAGGGGAACAGGGTGCATTTGGGATCTTTATCCTAATGCAAAGACCAGATATACAGTGTATGTTAGATGTATATTATGTTTTGGTCTTTTCTGTTGCTGTCAGTTTTATTTCCTGTTAATTGCCCCACCCCTCCCCTTTTCAGGAGTCATGAGACTTTTTGGAGGGAAGCTCAAAACTATTGACTTAGGTTAGTTTGGGGGTTTACATGTGATTGCTGTCAATTAGCAAGGATCATCAAAAGAGTAGTTAAAAAAATATGTCACTTATTATGTTTGGTATTACGTAAGAAAATCAAGTGCTATTATTTGTAAAGATATTTTTTTTTGACCATTTTAATTTCATGCGAAAAGCACAAAAAAAATGTGTGAAGTGTAATTTTGCCTGTGACTGATAGAGTGCAGCTTAATATGGTGTAGCTCATACCTTGAATTGATAGCTACTTTCTGGTCTGACCTCATTAAATCTTGTCCTTTTTTGGATAAATTTCTTTGGCTACTGATTATTCATGTTCCCTACAAAATCCTCTTGAAGAAAAGACGCATTATTTAGAAATAATTTAAGATACTAAATGTTAACTGTGAGACATTTGACTAATATATTTTATCCTTAACAGGTTAAATCAAAATGAAGATTTTTTCTGAATCTCACAAAACAGTATTTGTTGTGGATCACTGCCCTTACATGGCGGAATCATGCAGACAGCATGTTGAGTTTGATATGCTGGTGAAGAATAGGACCCAAGGAATCATCCCATTAGCCCCCATATCTAAATCATTGTGGACCTGCTCCGTAGAATCTTCCATGGAGTATTGTAGAATAATGTATGATATATTTCCTTTCAAAAAACTGGTGAGTGTGAAGTACAAGCAAAATAATGATTTGAGGGATGTACTCAATTACCTATTAAATTTTTTTATGTATGAATTTGCTGTAGATTTTATTTAAAAACGGTTTACAACTTTAAAAATGTGGTATATAGGATCCCCCTTTGTGATTAAATGTCGTGTTTATTAATTGGGAACCAACAGTAACAGCTAACAGTTATGCAGCACTTACGGGTGCCACATATATTCCAAAGTGCTTCATTTATATTAACTCTTCTAATTCTCACAACAGTCTAAGAAGGTAATTACTGTAATTACTAGGATAATATTCAAAGTGTGTAATAACCAAAATGGAACAGGCACTGACCATTCATTGTTGCTAGCTAAGCAGTAGGGGTGTTGGCTGTAAGCAGTTTGTCAGACCGTGTTGGTATGTGCCATCTGAATATCAGCCTTGTGTATTACTGCCACGATGGAGGTGCAGAAACTGAGGTAAAGAGAAGAAACTTACCTGAGTCGTGTAACTAGTTAGAGGCAGAACCAGAATTCAGACCTAAGCGGGCTGGCTGCTTACATAGGTTTAGTGAATGTGTACTAAATCACTGCAGGATTTGGCCATATTAGAAAGAAATGCTCTTTAAGGATGCTAAGCAGAAATTGTGTTTACCAATAAGAAACGAAATTGCATATCGATAGACATTTTCAAGTATAAAAATTTTCTTTAGTGTTCAGGGTCTCAACTATTTTATTTTGAGAAAAGTCATTTGGTCATCCATAAGTGGATAATTTACTTTCTGTCTCATTCTGGAGCAGCCTAGGCTGGCACCTAGCCAAAATAGAGAGTCAAATGTTATACATTCGGATATATTCTAAATTAAAATATAAGTTTTAATCCCACTGCAAATTATGCATTACACAAAGAGAAAAAAAACATGAGGAGAAGGATAATTTAGTGATTTAGAGCACAGACTTTGGCTTAAATTCTGTCATTATTCATTACCAGCAGCGTGACCTTGATCATGCTGCTTAATTTTTCCAAACCTGTTTACCCCCCACATAAGCATAACACCTACTGCTTACAATTATTGTAAGATTTCAAGGAGATAATATAAGTGGCTAGTAAAACATATCCCTGTCTGATAAGGCTTAGGAGGGAAAGGTACTTATCAAACTTATGGGGGAAGCAAAACTAGTATTTCATGGATATTAGGGGAAAAGATCATGAATTAGATCATATAGTTCAAGGGAAAGAAATGATTTTACCCTTTTCCCAAAAGGGAACATAGTCATCATTTAATATACTTTCTAATATATCTTTACTGTCATTGTTTTACTTGATAATATTTTTTGGTTTGCATTTTACTTTAAAATTTAGAATAAAGTCCAAATCCATTATTTTGGATTTCAGTGCCCTCTGTGATATGGCTCCTGCTTATTTTTCTGAGCTGAACTCCTGCCCTCTCTCTGCTCTGACCTTCACCCTTTTGAGAGTGCTCAGAAGCTTTTGCATTTGCTGTTTACTATACCTGGAATTCTCTATCCCCAGCTTTTTCTGAGGCTGATTCTTTTGGGCATTTCAGATTCCTCCAGTTGCCACTTTTGTGGAGAGCCCTTCTCTGTCCAACAAACCTAAAATAGTTAATTACCTTTTTCTTCACATTTATCACTCTGAAATTATCTTGTTTGTTTGTTCCTTGTACTACACTCTTAAGCCATACCTGCCAAATCCCCATCTTTCCCCACATTGTGAGAGAACTGTTTCATTCCTTGCTATATTCCCATATACCCTGTACTGAGAATAGCATGTGACATGTACTAAGTATTCTATACCTATATGACTCAGTCAACAAATCAGTGCTAGAGGCTTTGTATTTTATTGTTTTTACTGTTAACTAGTAGCAAGCTGTACATTTTAAATATGATGTGATCAAATGGAATTGGAGTTGAATACTAATTATTTCTTTGAAATCTATTAGGTGAATTTCATTGTGAGTGACTCTGGAGCGCATGTTTTAAATTCTTGGACTCAAGAAGACCAAAATTTGCAAGAGGTATGGTTAGGTTTTGAACTGTGGCCTTTTTGGAAATTATCTGAATGTGGTGCTACTTTATTAAAAATGATTTAAAATTTTTTGTCAATATAGTATTTGCACATAGTTTTAAAACACCAACTCATATTAAAAGAAAAACAGCTATCTCCATTCCAGTCTTTCCCCACTTTCTAGAAGCAAACTTTCAACTCTAGCTTATTTAGTATTCATTGTACTTCCTATTTCTAAATAACATTTTTTACTGCCATTTATATAGCTCGAGGTTAAACTTTATTTACCATTGTTGTCAGTGAGGATTTACCTTTTATATTCCCTCTCACCCATGCCAGAATGCATGACCCCTTCCCTTTCTTCATTTTCACAGTATTGTTATATCAGAATTTTTGGTTAATTCATGATTGATACTTGCTTTAAAATGTTTATGTGAAGTGTTATTAACTGCTAAGCCAAGTAATGTGTATGATTATTTATTTTTTAAGATCTATTGAGCTATCGTGGACATGCAATATATATAATGACATGCACTCACTCTCAGGGGTGTCCAGCCTCTTGGTATGTCTGGGCTACACTGGAAGAAGAGGAGTTGTCTTGGGCCACACATTAAATATATTGTGACACATATACAAAAAAAAAATCTTCTAATGTTTTAAGTAAATGTACAATTTTGTATTGGGCCACATTCGTAGCCATCCTGAGCCACAGGCGGCCCAGTGGCTACAGGTTGGACACCCCTGAGTCATACAGCATTGTATAAGTTTGAGGAGTACAGCATAATGAGTACACTTATGTATTATTTCCCTTCTTGTACAACTTCCTGGAATTTATAATTCCCTTTTTTTTCTAAGTTTGCTTAGTTTTCTGTGTATCTGTTGTTCCTTTTCCTTTTCATTTTTTAAAAAATGAAAAGTTTTAAAACTTTTAAAACTTTGAACTGTGGCCTTAAGTTTTAAAACTTAAAACTTTTCATTTTTTAAAAAATCATAAATGCATTAGAAATTTAGCGGTTTGATTTTTTTCCCTTGCAAAACTTCTCAGAGCGCAGTCCTCTGCTTCTG